TAAATTGCCTGTTCCACACTAATTCTGGCTGATCTTGTACACTAATAATCAGCGATTCACTGTTTTCAACCATTATTCTCTGAAAAGATTAGGCAGTTCAAGTTGTCCCAAATATTGAACCTCAATAAGATAGACATTTACAATCATGCAAGATGCCTACAATTTGAGGTCCCTGCTTTCAACTGTGAAAGAGTGAGCTTCCTCGACCTGCTCAGATGCTAACATACAGTGATTCACGGATTAACTTGATTTTCTTCTTTTTCATTTTAAAGGATATTTTAATAATGAAAGTGTACAAGCACCAAAAATGATAACTGTTCCTATATATTTGTCCAGACCTGCCATTTGAACCTATCACTTAAGTAATAGATTAGTCCTAACACTCTGCAGCATCCTGGGATCCCATCAGACTGTTCAGACTGTTTATCCTGAATCTAGCCCTATTCCTAGAAAAACTACCATTTAGGGAAAAACAGAACATTTATTCAACAATTCCATATTGTCTCTGATGCAGCAATGTAACGGTTAAGTAACAATTATACTGAGCTCAACAAGACAAAAATAAAATGGTTTTAAAGAAGGGGCTGGGTTGGCGATTCTTTTCTCACTCATCTTAATGCTAAAAAGACCAAGATCTTTCTTGTCAGTAACATATTAGTGGGCTTCAGCCCTGAACTATCTCTGGCTGCCAGCACCATCAGTGACCTCAGAATGAGAAGATACAGCAACTCCTCAAGGTGAGTGTACAAACTCAAGCCCAAGCTGCTTCTTTGGAACGCTATCAGCGGTGTCACAGGGCGACTTGATTCTTGTCCAAAAGTTTGAAAATGAGGCTGGGTGCAGTGGTTCACACCTGTAATCCCGGCACTTTGGGAGACCGAGGCAGGCAGATCACCTGAGTTCGGGAGTTCAAGACCAGCCTGACCAACATGGAGAAACCTCATCTCTACTAAAGATACAAAATTAGCTGGGCGTGGTGACACATGCCTGTAATCCTAGCTACTCAGGAGGCTGAGGCAGGAGAATCCCTGGAACCTGGGAAGCAGAGGTTGCAGTAAGCCAAGATCGCACCATTGCACTCCAGCATAGACAACAAGAGTGAAACGCCATCTCAAAAAACAAAAGTTTGAAAATGTGCTGAAGTAATGTTCCTTCCCACACTCTCCTACTTCACGAAGATGGTTATACTGGGAAAAAAAAAAAAAAAGAAAAAGAAAGAAAGAAAAAAAAGCAGGTTTCTCTGTCCTCTCTTTGTGCCTTAGCTGAGCAACAGTGGATGGAACTATGTTTGTGGTATTGCATTTGCACTTAATGGTACAGTTCTTTGACGTACTTATATTGTTGGAATGCTAAATTTATATGAAATTAGGAATGTCAGGCAAAATTAAAGAAAAAAGATCTGACTCCTTAAATCTATATTCTCCACAAGAATAAATAACTTAGAATGTAAATGAATCTTTCATTCACAAGATGATTTTTTTGAGAAAGTAGAATTTATAGAACCACTGAACTAAGCAATGTGCTTGCTTTACCTTCTGAAAGGCCTACTCAATTTCAAATGGTAATGTTTGTTTGCCATTTTGTCATTCGTAACAGACCCATCAGAAGTGGAAATCAATTTGTCTTTGGGAACAAATTCTGTACTGGGTACTGGTTATATAAATCACAGGCATCTCATTTCATTCAAAGACATTTTCTGAACATAAGATGGGATTATTAATTCTCTACTTATATATATTATTAATATTCTTAAGTGTTACAATATTTGGGGATAAGCAATTATACATTTATAGTAGATATCATACATAAAAAGCCACATTCAGACAGTGAAATGTAAATAATTAAAAAATCTAAAAATGAAGTAGCATCATAGCACCTGTTATGCAACACCTAATAAAGGATTACTTTATTTCATTATCCAAGAAAACCCTTGATTCTTCATGAAAAAGAAGAGAAGAAAGAGCACAAAAGGATTATTGGGTTAACAACCCCACATTTTGCTCTCATCCTATTGCCAAGTAATTAAGGTAATTCACAGCCACCGGCCAAAATTCATACAGGCTGAAGCAAAGGGTCACATCTCTACGAATTTCACATTAACAGCTGAGTCTATTTCCTTTGTAAAATGGTAAAAATTTTTCCAGACAGCAGGCCACAACATAGAGCTTGGGTGGCAAATAAATAATTTCAACAAATCCAGCTTAAGTGGATTGCTTACCTGAGCCAAAGGGCGTATTGCTTCCTGAGTGAACAGATGTGCTAGAATCTTAGGACAATTTCTCCTTTTCTAGTCTCCTCCTCTACTACATCTCCTCTCTTATCTCATTTTGTCCACTTTATTCCCTTTCCCATTTGAGGTGATAAGTCTAACTTTAGTTAAGCGACACTTTCCTTTATACTCAGGTCTCCATTTTAATTTTGTAAAGTCATTGGCGATAAAAGCCATGTTACAATTGTAACATTCATTCTTATTTCTATCTTATATAAAATTTAACAGATTCTCTCTATAAATGGATATAATATCCCCAATTACACTGGGAAAATTAAATTGCTAATAGAATTCTTGAGTTTGGCCATATTTGCAAAATTACACCTGAAAGTGAGAAGTACTTGCAGACAGAGGCCTCCTGGTTGAGGACACTCCTATTCTCTTACCTGCAGTCACCAGCACCTGCTAAGCATTCTCTCTGCACAGACAGCTCTCTTCCTTTGGGGGTACCTTTGCCTTTCTGCTCAACCTTACACTGTGTTTTTGCCTCTGGTGAAAAACCAAGGTTGGTTCCAGCTCAAATGGCATTTTATGTCAAAAAGAGAGGAAGAAGGGGCAGTGCAGAGGTAGCAGCAAGGTACAGAGAAATCTGATCCTTTTTTCTTTCTTTCTTTCCTTTTTTTGAGACAGAGTCCCACTCTGTCACCAGGCTGGAGTGCAGTGGTCCGATCTTGGCTCACTGCAACCTCTGCCTCTGGTTTCAAGTGATTCCCCACCTCAGACTCCTGAGTGGCTGGGACTATAGGCATGCACCAACATGCCCAACTAATTTTTTTTGGTATTTTAGTAGAGATGGGGTTTCACCATGTTAGCAGGATGGTCTCAATCTCCTGACCTCATGATTCACTGCCTCAGGCCCCCAAAGTGCTGGGATTACAGGCGTGAGTCATCGTGCCCGGCCTGATCATTTTTTCTATTTCTACCATGTGTTGCTCTTTTAAAGGGTGAAGAGGTAAGACATGCAAGGAATCATGTAGCAGATCGTTTCTTCAGCTTTTGGGTCCTCTATCCATTGAGTATGCCGAATTGAAAGGAATATAAATTCCTGGGTCCATTATGAAGTAGTTGCCCGTAGGCCAGGAGTGGTGGCTAATGCCTGAAATCCCAGCACTTTGGGAGGCCGAGGCAGGTGAATTGCTAGAGCCCAGGAGTTGGAGACCAGCTTGGGCAACATGGCCAAGCTCCATCTCCACAAAAAATACAAAAAGTTGGCTGGGTGTGGTGGCATACCCCAGTAGTCCTAGCTACCTGGTAGGCTGAGGTGGGAGGATCACCTGATCCCAGGAGGCTGAGGCTGCAGTGAGCCATGACTGTGCTACAGCACTCCTGCCTGGGCAAGCAAGTAAGGCCCTGTCTCAAAAAATCAATCAATCAAACAACCAAAAAAAGAGAAGTTGCCTGTAGCCTCAAGTGTCAGTAACCTTCTATTTCAAAACGCATGGAACCAATAAAATTTACTACAGTAACTTAAATCATATCAACTTGCCTTAAAGCACTGAGGACGCGACTCAATGTGACGCATCTAGGGGACTATAGCCGTCTTGGAAGACGACCAAAGCTTGTTTAATCATCATGTACCAGTTGCCGGTGCGTGATGAAATAATTTTTTTAAAGTCTAACGTCATATGAGTTGGAATTTTTTTTTTAAATATCAAAATTATGATGATTGTATAGCCACATTGAAAATGCTAAACATTTCTTTCAGTGGAAGAGTTACTAGTTACTATGATACATCTACTATGTTGAACATAATAAACCATCTTCAAAATAATTCACTGTGAAATGTGTAGTGTAATATATCTGCAGTGTATCATATTGTGAATCAGGACATCCATATGACATAAAGAAACTTGTCTGCAATTTGTGGGGCAACATTACAACCACATTTTAATTCCAAAGACTTCTTAGATTAGCTCCTCACTTTGTTCATGATCATAACGTATTAAGACAGGGTCACTCAGTTGTAAATTTTCAGCTCCCTCTGGTATTCACAGTTTGCCATTCATTTGGTATAAACATGCTTTAGTTGAAAGAAAGCAAAATAGATGTAGGCCTGAATAAATAATATTGCACACAAGGCCCCTCAGCAGGCATAGCAATATTCCTCTGTTGAAGCACTTAATGTTCTTTTTTTTTTTAAGAAACAAGTCTATTTTTTGTTATCCTCAGTCACTTTATGTTTCTTTCCAGTGAGAAGCCTGAAGTGGTCAGTGAAATTTAGTATAGGTAATATTTAAAAATATTTGCCTCATTTTCTCCCTCCTTCCCTCCCTTTCTTCCTTCCTCTTTCGGAGTACCATAAACACAAACAAAAATATAGAAGAAATCTATGTCTTTCCAGTGGGATGAAAGATGTGTACAGTCATCCATCCATTTACTCATTCATTCACTTGATGAGAAAAGGAATTCTTTCCAGATTGGTGTTATTGCAAATAATAAAAACAATAATCAAACCCATAAACATGGTATATATTATCATAAAGACTATAGTTCTTCCCAACTTTGAAGGAGAACTGCATTTCCTTTTCTTCCCCACCCCATTTCAGGTTTGCATAAAGATCCTAATTTCCCTTCAGACTTGCTTGGGCGAGTCTCCACAATATAAAATTAAAAGAGCAGGATGAACAAAAAGGTTCAAAATAAAGTGATGTATTTAACTCTTAATATCAATTGAGCTGTAAAACTTTTGGTAAAAACTGTGTGTGTGCATAAGATGTGTGGTGCTTCTTACCCGGTGTTTGAAAGTTAAGGCGTCTCAGTTCTACAGGGTCTGTTGGGTGGTGTGAAGGGATCTCCTTACTGTTCGGTATGCTGCTCTTTCTAGAGTCAGACTCTGCCCTCTTCCTATAGGGAGAAAATACAAATTTAAGAGGAAAAAAAAATCAGTTGAAACAGATCAAAAAGCAGAGAGTTGCACCTGCGCTCCCCGCCACCTCCCAAGTTTTCCGTTTTACAGCTTTTTAACCCAGCTGCCTTGTGACCAAGTTCGGGGTGCTTTTCCTCCCTTGGCCTACAGTGTTGTCTCAGGTCTAACATTTTTGTTTAGGTGGATGATCTTGAAGTCTTCCTCCAACTCTAGGATTAAATAATTCAGCAACTCTGCCTTTAGGCTTCAAGGGGATCTTGGTGAGATATGCTTGGACCCTTACCGAGCAGTTCTCTGCTATCTTCTAGTTCTATTTGTGAGGAACAGGATAGGATACCCCGAAGTCACCAATACTAACACTGTTGTTGGCTTTAAGCTGAACAGTTAAATCTGTCCCCCTTAGCTCTTTCTAAGTATATGTAAGTGGTGACTACACAGTGGAGATGCCTTAGATTTTCCCATTAAGGCAGGTAAATACAAGTGCATTTTTAAGATGCCAAGTTATCCTAATACCTAGGAGAACCGGTATCAGGTAAAACAGACGTCCTCTTTTTCTTTCAAATGTGAAGGAAAAAAACAGTATTAGTTGTTAACAATGTTAAGCTAACTTTGAGTAATATTTTGTTATTGAAAGGTTCACAGAAAGATCAGAGAAAAAGTAATTTCACCTGGTGGGTAGATCAACTTTCCTGATAACCATTCAAGGTACCATTGACAGTGCCTTGTTATAAATGTGATTCTTCACACAATACATTTCATCATCTTTGTTTTAAAAGCTATCTACTAGCATTATTAGATATCCCCATTTAAGTTCTCCTTATGTAATTTTAACAAATTTCTATGCAAGAAATGTCAGATCGATCTGTATATAAGATTTCTTTATCCATTAAAAATTAATCACAGAGTCATAACTATCTTCTTCCAGCTTGAATTAGATTAAAAACCCATTTAATCAACGGAAGCCGTTTTAAAACAGTGCTTTTTATTTTTTTTCCAAATACTGATGCCTACAATCTCTATGCTAGAGTCACAGTCCTAGTATCTAACCCCTGTGCAAAGCAAAGGCATTTTTATTTGGGGGGGAAAGGTGCTGCACAGTGTTTAGGAACTTTGCTTTTCTCTGTTCGATGTCACTGTGGTACAGCTCATTAGTTTTGCTGTGGCAACAGGCTGTCATTCAATGCCACCCAGGTTGTTCTATGGTTAGCCAGAGGGCTCCTGCTAAATAGTCTTTAGTCCCATTTCCGCTCATCTGTATAAAATAAAACTAACCAGGGGATGAAGAGAAGTTGGTACCAACGAGAAATGCACATGATTTGCTCAAGTACAAGCCTTCAGCGAGACATCCTTGATGGAATACAGTTTCGTGGGTAAGTCCTATTAGACATGTTGCTTTCTCAGTACTTTGGATTAACCTGTCTGAGGATTTCTCTTTCTACCTAAAGGTGTCAGATACAGCCTTGGGACAAAATGTACTGCAAAGCCATTCCACCAATCAGAGGTGAGCAGTATTCTGAGGCCTGCCAAGGTACTGGCAGCTCCAGTTCTATAGAGTAGAAAAGAAGAAGGAAAGAAAAAGGAGAGATGAAGGGCTGGTGAAAAAGATATGAGGAGGAAGAAAAAGACAGGCTCAGAAGACCATGTGAAAGGAGGACATGATGACCAGTTTCAGAGGAGGCACTGTCGCTGTGTCTATGCTATGGGTCTTTGCCTCACCACACTAAGAGATTCCTCTTATCACTGAAGATGCAAAATAGAAATAGGTTAATGAAATGTCACTGGGTACAGCTAGTTGGTTAATGCCACGTGATACATATGGTTGGTCTTCTCACTTCAAATAATACCGATAGACTGTCTCATGTTTCGACGTTTTGCATAAGTTGCAACACATGCATTTCTCTACTAATGTGCCAGGCCCAATGACTAAAATTTCGATCTTTCTCCCTTCTCAATGTGGCTTTGCCATTCTTGCAAGATTATGGAACCCAGAATTAGGAATATCTATCTAGGCAAGAAAACTGCTTTACTTTTACAGGTATTGTAGAGTAACCTCCTTATCTTCTTTTTCCCCTTGGCTGGGGTGAGTGACAACTGAGCTGGAAGGACAGAAAAAAAAAGTCTCTAAAGGAATTCAGCCAATTTCTCTGGTACCAGGAAAGTTAGAAATTACATCTTTTTGTAAAGATGTGAGTCTCAGAAAACTCAAGACATGGGACAAAATTACAATTCACAATTGTAATGAACAGAGAGGTTTACTGACATTTAATAACTAACTTCTCTTTCACTGTATATTTAAATGAAATTCTTTCCAAGCTCTCACACTCTTGAAATCCTAGCCAAATAGAAAAGCAGCTGCTTAAATGTATTTTGCTTAGTTTTGTTTTGATGATCACAACATAGATAATTCTGGCTGTCCACATTCTTATCACATTATTTTTAAACACTTATTATGTGATGTTCTAGAATGTTTGTTTCCTAACACAGACACAATTTTTAGGAAAGATGTGGAAGATGAGAGTTTGGCCATCATTGGTAATAATACTAAAGAGTTTTAAAAAGTCGTCATAAAATGTTAAAAGACATATAATGGTCTAAATTAGGCTCAGCATGAATGTAAGTAATAACATTTTTCCTGATAAATTTCAGAGGTCTCATCATTCTCATTTTCATTTTGAAAAATGGAAAGAATAATGACTAGAAACAGATTCTAAGTTTTGCCTTGCTACACTATATTTTTTTTTCTATTAAGATGACAAAATGTTAGTGCAAATTTATTTCTTGCAGTGAGAGGTATCTATTATGTGCAGGAGTTATGTAGGTGAAAAGGAAATGGAAGATCACTTGACAGTTTGGATCTGTCAGAAACTGCTAATACTATCAAAGCAGGTGGTTTTTGGCATGCGGGTAATACACAACACAAACGCTGCTCTGGTCCAGGGGCATTTAGCTTTCACCAGGCTCTCATTTCGCAAGGGAAGAAAAATCAAAGGGAAGTTGAGTGAAAGATCATACTTATGGTCTTGAAACAAAGATACACAAAAACGTCAGCACACGCTTTCAGAAGAAAGATATACTTATTAAATATCTATACTATGAATATTCAAGTAAATCAATCCAAATACTTCATGATTCTGATAACATTAAGAATGTAATCCCAACTCCGCCACTACTGGTATGTGCCAACTACAAATTTTCTTTTCTGTTTCTTTGCGTATAAAATAGAGGGAGATTAGATGATGATGTCTACGTCTTGGCTCAACTCTCTCATTTTAATAGAAAAAGTAAGCACTGATTAAATTATAAAATGTGAAAAGTGTTATAATGAAAGGTGGATATCTGAGTATTTTAAGTGAGTTTTAAAGGTTTTTGTCTTTTGGATGAAAAAAAAACTATTTTGCAGGTGTTTTTGCTGACTAAATGGACACTAGAGATGTCCACACAAAAAAGACGCCCTAACAGAGGTTTAAAGATTTTTATCATTCAACATGAGGCTTGCTGACTAATGTAAAGTGATTTTAGTGTAAACAATGCAGCGATGGTTCTCAAATTTACTATGCATCAGGATTGCCTGGGAAGACTTGTTAAAGTACAGCCTGCTGGACCAATGCCTAGAGTCTCTGATTCAGTAGGTCTGAGGTGGGGCCCAAGAATCTTTATTTCTATCAAGTTCCCTGGTGATGCTGATGCTATGGCTGCTGCTCCAGAGACCACTCATTGGAAACCACTGGAATATGACATTGGGAGAAAGGTAGGTAATCGCTGAGATTTTTTTTTTTTGTAGTTTAATCAGGAATTTATATATGTGTTACATGCATATTTATACATAAGTGTATATGAAGATATAGATATGAGTATGAAAGCTAGAAGATTAGTATGGATTAATCATTCAATAATCACATAGTGTATGTTAGCTATGATTATTGCTGTTCTTATTCAAGACTGGAAGACATGGATAATAATTTTGAATTAGGGAAGAGTTCTCAGGCACTATCATCAATATTTGCAGGGTATGAAAATGCTAATATCATTAGGGGATTTGTAATCAAACTTGAAAACTAATCTTCAGTAAAAACAAGACAAAACAAAACAGCTTATGAGACACCTCACATTTCTGCTCTGTAGACACATGACACACACAAATGCCCATTTTAATCTTGACCACAAACAAAACGCAGATGTTGGTTTGTGTACTGTCTTTTAAATTTCACCTTTAATCCGTTTCTTATGTAAACAAAACATTTACTACTTTCCCCAGAATCATTTAAATGAAGTTACTGTACACATGTAGGCTTTGCCCATCTTCCACGGGCCAGGTATCATCTTTTGTATGGAGCCCTGCCCTCCCCTCTTCAGCAACTCCAATGTCTTAACAGTTTCTTAGGTTTTTCTTACTGATCATTAAATGGGTTTGTTCTCTATTCCTCACCTGTCAGGTTTACTGCTCCATTTTAATGCAGCAAAAAAGGAAAAAGAAAGGCTAAATGTTAGTTGGTCAATGGTAACAAGGATAACCATGACAACCAAGATTTAAGAAACAGTGTTCACAAGCAAGGACACATAACTGACATACATTCGCAAGCGACAGTGAATCAAAGTAATTGTAGACCTCTGATTATGAAATAAACAGAGGACATGAAGTTACATCACTGAATACATTGTGTGTGTGTGTTTGTGTGTGTGTGTGCATGCGTGTGTGTGTGAATGCCACATGCATTTTTATCCATCACCTACAAAATATTGCCACAATTAATAATATCCCAGGAAGTATTTGATAGTAGAGAGATAATTTGATTTTTTAAATACGTGCTATGTGAAAGCTACTAACGGACTGCATGGGAATACAGCATCATTCCATAAAAGAAATTCATTCATTTAAACTAAAAAAGCCTTCAATTAAGAGGTATGTCATTCCTTTCATGATATAAAATATCTGCAAATGGTATTGAACTATACAGAAATTTGCACAATCAAATAATACACGAAAAGGTAGTAAGGTGGCAGAAATCATTTCTTCAAACACCTCTTGCTACATCTTTTGTCCAGTGAAGGATTAAGTACATCTTTAGTTTAGGAAAATGTAATACCCATCATTATAAATCTAAAGAGCATGGCCCATTTATACAGTTAGGCTAATCCAGGAAAACATTTTATCACCAGCCACTGACAGCACAGGTATTTTCCTAGTCTGTGCTGCTGTCTGCGAACGCAACAAGTTCATGCTCATAGATCCTTTCACCTGTGATAATATGTTGACTGTTTAAATAATCACATTACTTCTGCAGAGTATAACCTTTTCCTGAAAACAATTAATCGAAAAATCTTCACTTTGAGGCAAACTGCAAAGTTTTCAGTGAGTTCCTAATTGCAAAATAAAGGTACTAAGTTTTTCTTAATGCCAATGAAATCGATATCCAAGTTGTTGGACTATCTGGCACTGTGAGATAATTCAATCTATCTCTTTTCAAAAATAAAAAATCCACATTTAAATTGTACAAACACACACATACAAAGTTAATGATGAAAATGATACCAAACACATTGGTTAATTCTTCTTATTCTTAATCTTAAAGTGATTTACTAAGTGTGCCAGGTAAAACAAAAATCCAACATAAATGTTTCCAACTTGCTCATTTTTTAAATCAATGACTTCATCAGGGAATCAGTTGTAGGAAAATCTATGTCTGAGGATGGAAAACTACCTAGTGAATTATCAGTTTTGTGTATTCAAAGGATACTTGTTTATATGAAAAAATGCACAGTTCTAGATAAAGGTTAGCCTTACCATACACATGGGTATATATGGGGTACTTATCCAAGATTGAAAGCTTTCATGACTGATAAATTTATAGGCCAAGGATTTTATGACAACTTGTGCCAGCCAAAATAAAGGTGATAATAATGAGTGACGGAGTCAACAAGTTTGATATACTTTCCATGTATGTCAGGAGTTGAGTTTCTCTAACACTCTTTGACTTGTATACGTTTAATTATCTAATAATTTGGGGGGCCAGCCACTCTACTAGGCACTAGGGAACAATAATGAATAAGACAGCGTCCTTGACCTGCAGTTTAGTGGAGGCAGAGTGCCAAAAGGGGCACTGACGGTAATGCAGTAGGTTCTATAATAGACAAGCAGAAAGTACTTTAAGAGCCTAGGAAAGGCGATCCGAAGGCAGCCCGAACTACTAGACAGGTGAGGAGAGGAGAACACTGCAGATGAAGCAGGCACCCAGAAAGCCTTGATAGTAGGCAGCATCCTAGCTGACTTCCAGGATGAGTTAGAGTTAGCCAAGCCAGAAGGAGTGGCCGGGGAGTGACAGGAAAGGCATTTCTAACTCAGGGAGGGCCTACTCAGAAGCCAGAAAGCAGGGACCAGTGTGGTTGAGTGTGGCCACATATTTCTTCATAGATCCTCAAAATATTCTGGACTGCATTTCTTTCTTTGATGAGGCCTTGGAACTATATGGAGGGTTGATACAAAAACAGAAGACTAAAGACACAAAGCCTGCAGAGAGCCAGTGCTGAAGCTGGAAAAAGCTGGAAAAACTGAAGCCTGTATTTTAGTCTCGTCTAGCTCATGGCCTACACATCTTGGGACGGGTATGGAAAAGCAGTGTGCATGCAGGCTAGATTATTACCCTTCAAGGATGTTAACTGCCTAAAATGTGCCTCAGACTTCTAGGACCTCCTGATCCACATCTTTGTTTCCATAGTATATAATAAATACTTCTCATCCATCTTGAAATGCTTTTCCATAAAGGTAAGCTTAATAGTTTATTTTTAAATGTTTATTTTCTATATAAATACTTCTTGAACAGTTTTGGAATAAAGTCTGAAAAGCTTTACATATGTAGCAGGTATACAGCATAAGAACTTTTAATTGCTTTATGGATTTTTTTTGTCGGACTAGATGGATGTGCAATTCGAATACTATTGCCTGGTGTTTAATGTTTTCAGATTATACAACATTAAAATTAAAAAGCCCTAATTATCTAGTCCACCCACTTACTTCATAAATCTAGGCTCACAGTGTTGGCAAGAATTTCTACCCCATGCAAGCAGCTAGTCACAGAGCTGGGACTCGGACTCAGGTTTCCTGGCTCCTCAGTCCAGTAGCTGTCCAAACCTTGCTGCTATCTTATCTCTGTAAGGTGCATTTAAGACACGGCCCATATCATATTTAAAAAAAATACAGTACATGAAAGTTTATACCATTAAAGATATATCAAATATATTTTAATTTTATGATGGTTCAAAAAGTATTTTAGGGACCTTACAAAGCCCTGATACTTTTTGTTACTGATTATCAATGTATTATAGGTGTTCAGATTACTAGATTAAAAACAAAAGTTAAATGAGCAGAATATCAGATCAAAACGTGTACCATTTTCACATGAATATATCTAATAAGTCTAAAAGCTTCCTCAGACAACTGGTTAAAACACACTTCTTTATATCATAAAACTATCTGTAGCTACAGACCTATGTCTAATGCAAGCATCTCAGAAGCAGAGATATATGATGAAGTGGATTATCACTATAATGCGAGTCAACAATGTTTTATTCTCATTTCTTCTCAAAGCATTATTTGCATATGAGAAGTGAAATATTTAGACAATAATAATAATAATGATACTTTCAATTCTAAGTCATTACCAATGACCTGTGTATAAACTAAAGGCACCTAAAAAGAGGGAATGGAGGATTTATTACATAATTAACTTTGCTCAGAATCCAAGCTATAAAAGACACTATTCATTGGGTACAGAAGATTTCCTTTTGAACTGCCTCATGATAATCAAGAAGGACATTGTTGGGCCTACTTGAATTTCAAGTCAGGAATGTTCTTTACTGCTGAAGCAAGCATTTCTATTTCAGAAACGCTTCATGGGCCTTCAGATGGTTAGCTAAATATACTTAGCATTCGAGGATGTGTGCATTTCCCAACAATTGCATTAGACGATGCTTACACAGGCCCACACTAAAATGCTACTCTATTTTACCAGAGTCATAAAACCTTTAAATATCATACTCCTTTTTGTGGGAGTAGGAAAACTTATAAGTGAGTTCATTTTTTAAGCACATGCAGATGAAGAAAGAAAACAATTATCTTTTAAAAATTATTAGGACTATAATCATATTTCTTCACATTTACATAACTGATTCACAAATACCATATACATCTGTCACTTGGTATGACTTAATGATAGCTATGTATATCCAAATAAAACATAACTTAAAAAATAAGGCATTCATTTTTCTCATTTCAAATAATCACAAAATGTCAGGTGAAATGGCCTAGAAATACACCTGTCAACAAGCATTTGTTTTTTTGACCTGACCCCCACAGTAAATGTGACCACCTAAATAAATATCTCCCAGAAAACAATTAGAATTATATTATTGCTTTTTATTATTGAAGTCCCTTCTAGAAAAAAGTACAGTGTACAGACAGCAAAGGGCATCAGCTCCTGCTTGGACTCAAACAGGATCTATGATTACTTTGGGGCAGGTGGTACCTTGTGCTTCCTGACCTTACCTCCTACATGGAGAGAGGTGATAAAATACAATGGGTTCCCTGAGATACATGACTACAGATACAGATCGGAATGGGAAACTTCAAATCATCAACTGAAAGGAGATTTTGGCTTTCAATCACTTGCTTTTTCAGCTATTTTACAGCATGGATAATAGAATGATGGCAGTGTTCATGAAAAAAATGATGGATATTTCTTTCATTCTTTATAACTCTAAAATAGGATAGTCAATTTAATGGGTTATGGTTATGAACTTCTTTCATTTGTCCTTTATTTTCTCAACCCTCTCTCCATGCTGGGATGAAATAAAATAGAGCCTTTTAAGAAGAAGTTTTTCAAAGGAGAAGTGTGTTAAAGGAGTTTTTTGTTTGTTTGTTTTTGTTTTTAAGACTCATGAAAAGACATTATAGGGGAAAAAAGCTATTCCAGGGACAGAAGAACAAGGGAGTGAGGGTGAAAATCATTAATATAAACCCCCAAAAGGCAGCTAGATTGGTAGGAAAAAGAATGAATGAAAATGAGATTATCAGATTAAGTAGATGCAAGAATCGAAATGAAGATACTCTTTTCAGATTTTGAAGGCCAAGGTTACAGGGACAGGGAGAGAGAAGGTATCTTGTAGTCGTGGGATGAGATCGTCTTCACAGTAGCATTTCAAAACACAACACATCACAAGGAAAATGAGAACATAAAGTTTTATCAAAATGCAATTTAGATTGGAAAAAATAAATATCGATATAGAGGGAAGTAATTTTGAATTTAGCCATTTTAAATGTTTAAGAAAGTATATTATATGCTATTTTTATATGTTCATATTTATATTATAATTATATTTTTAAGACAGAAAGAATTTATGGGAACAATTACTAATGTCCTCTGTGTAACCGACTGGGCAGTGACCTCAGGAAAAAATCTTGTTAGAGATTAGCTGTTAGAGGCAGAAACAGAATTGAGAAAGAGTAGCATATCAGAAAAACCTGGGTAGGAACAGATTATCTGCATCCTAATTGTAGTCAAAGGCACTACTTAAATCAATACGTGGGCATAGTAAGACTGAGATTACAGCTTTTTAAAAAGGAAAATGGTACCTTGGCATCCCTTCTTGGACACATACACAAATTCACCAGTGAAGATGTGGAATAAGGGTGAGAAGAAAATTGGGAGAGGATTCATTCTCCATCCCTCTCTTTTTTTTCTTCTTCTTTAATCCTTAATTTTTATCTGCTTTTGCTAAATTTTGAGAAATAGCTACCGGGAACTGTCTCAACACTTGTGCAAACTAGATTACCATATGTACACAAATTGTAAAATCATAATAGTGCTTGAAAAAACATGCTGAAATCGAGCAATTAATTACCTAAAACAATCAAGTGAAAGCTTGCATGGAATTATTTGCCTGTGAATGCACTAATGCCTCAACTGTTATCAAGAGTGCTTATCTGCATAAAGCAGCTCAGAAGTTTGGAGGCCGCAACAGATGCATGTTGGACAACAGAAGTCTATACCAAACACTGAATAAGATTCCAAATCGTACAGTTGTTACATTTTGATCTTACTGTAAATGCTTTCCAAAAATAACTGAAATGGCACTGAAGTATTTCTCCTAAAATCAACCACCTAAGGACTGCAGAACAGTGATCAAGTCTTTAAAAATAAGGCAGCCACCAAAACTGCAACAGAAATACTGGGCAAACCCACCTTTTATAAAGAAGAATAGCAATGACAATGCAGATGATAAAGACCACTGCAAGGACCGGACCTACAACCCAGATCAAGCCTTCTTCTTCATCCGTGATTGGCTGTGGATCCAGGTCCATTGACACCACAGGGTCAGAGTACGGGCTGGTTGCATACATCTTCTGAGGAAGAGGAGAGTCTATTTTAGTTATAAAATAATGGCTTTCTAGAGAGTACCTTTAACATGTGGAGAAGTAAAAAATCCAGGAAATAGTGGATATAATGGCAACTGTGCTAAGCAGTGTTAGCAAAATAGAGGGAAGGGGAAGGGAGAGGAGAATAAAGAAAAGAAAGGAAGAGTTTTGTAATATAAATTTCCTATAGAGTGAAATATTTTTTAATAAAATCATTTTGACAGTACAAGTTACTTCACAGACACTTTTCATTGGGATCTATATATGGCATATTAAATGGTCCTATGAAGTGTAAAGTACCAGTAATTAACCAGTGGCAAAATGTTTAATGAACATTTACATTGTGCCAAAGTGTTAGGTGCTAAGTGAAAATCAAGAGACTGTATTAGAGTTCCAGACTTCAAGGCATTATCATACAGTTAAGGAGACCAAAGTACATATTTACAATGCAAAGTCAGTCAGTATGTAATTAAATGTGCATGTCAGCAGTTGTTAGTACTACTGTGCTTCTTAGTGCTTGGTACTACTCAGTATTTCTGCATTTTACTCAGGAATTACAGCCCAAACAATGAACAAAGTCTAAAATTTCAAAAGCGAATTCCATAATTCAAACGACAGATGCAAGATGTACAGAATTGATGATATACACGGCTTCGTAAAACAGAGAGTTTTTAGTACTTAAAAGAATTTAGCAGTTCTCATTTTGTTTTATTATAGTTATTGCTCAGAGACTGGTATGTTTGTTCCCGATAGACAATTGATAATATACTTTTTAAAAATACAGTTACTTGGAGAAGAAATGGACTAAATATCTACGATCTTTATTTCTGTGAAATCCCATCCTATTTAGTTCTGTCCTATTTGAGTCTATATCAGGAAAACATCTTCCTGACTCTCCTTGCCCCCTTCAAGGCCCTGTCTTCGACTTTCCCCGTCCAGCAGAGACTAATCCATATCCACTAGCTGCTCTGCTTCTCCTATCACTCACTCCTCAGCTCTTCTCACTCCAGCACCACCATTGGTCCTATTTTTGTTTTAATTTGCCAAAACGAATCGTCTTTATTTACTCTTTACCTTTCTAGGCAACTTTTCCAGATTTGCCACTGTGCATAAAGCCTTCTTTTTTTCTCTCTTCCATCCTCATCTTTCAAACTTCTCAAGCCCTGCTGAGTTAATTGCCTCTGACTCCATCCTATAGACTAACATTCTTTCCCCAAAAAAATTTTATTATGGAGATGGGTCTCACTATGTTTCCCAGGCTGATCTCCAACTCCTGAATTCAAACAATCCTCCAGCCTCAGCCTCCCAATGTTCTGAGATTATAGGTGTGAGCCACCGTGCCTGGCCCTGAACCAGCACTCTTAAGTTCTATTCTCCACTAGCATCTTTGTCCTCTCGTACCTGGCAAGGTCAGCCCAAGCTTTAACTATCAGCCTCCATGCAGACTATGTCTTCATTAATGTTCCTAAACTCAGATACTCTATGAAATACCAGATCTTCATTTTCAGTCATGTCTAAAGACCGCTACATATATACTCAGATTAAATATAAATTTCTTAATTTTTCCCAGATATTCCTTCCCTTCCTCCTGACCTCCCAAATACTCTCATCCTCTCAGTTTCTAGGAATGGATGTTGATTTTACCTTATAATAACAGGAATAGAATGGAAACACTGGTTTTAGCTTATCATCAGTGACCCCCAGGTCCGTCTGCTCTCCTTCCAGTCTCATGAGCGCACTTTTCTTTAGGACCTCATTGATGTGTTCCTCAACATACCAAGAGTTTCTTCCTTCCTCTAATAGTCTCCACTGCTGTTAGAGGTATCATCCTAAACTACAACTACAAAGACTTCAAGAAGCTCTCTCATGATTTCCAAATAAAACGGAGACAACTTAGCATGGTTCTCAAGGGCATCCACAATTTTACTTTAAACTTGCTTACAGCATACAACACAATCCATCACAGTGAGCTTCTTGCTGCTACTCCCTAAATGCTCTTATTCTTGTTCCTCAACTCCCTCACAAGTTCCACAACATTTAGCCCCTGAAATTGAACAATGCTTCAGGCCCCCATTTGAATACTGCCTCCAATGAAACCACCTCTTTTTAACTGATTAGCAGTCATTGGTCATTTCCCTCCACTTAAAAAAAAAAAAAAAGATAATAATACAGCTACATATTTATTTAGTCTTTTTTTTTTTTTTTTTAACGGTGCTGACCAAACTCTATTTTGGCTTTTTATTTGTATATATACTTCATTTTCTTTGGTGAACCTACAAACTCCTAGAAGTAAGGATTTATATAGTATTTGCGTTTATATGCTGAAAGCAGCTAGCACTGACTCTTGTACTTTGTGAGTTATCAGCAAATCTTGGCTGAATAAGGCAAAATAAAATGTTCATCTTTTCAAATGGCTGAAATTATCAAGACATCGGTATATCTGCTCATTTTTCATAATCAGTACATATATTTAAGTGTTTTAACCTGCATCTTTAAAAATTTGTGTTTATGGCATCTATTCTGAACTTAAGTACAATGAGCTCAGCCATCAAACAGGAGAACAAACGTTCCACTCAATGCCTGTATACTATTCTTCTTTCTCATTTTTTTCATTGCGCCCAGGAAAGAGAATGACTAAATTTTCAGATTTTCTAATGCATGAAAAGAAGATGAAAACTCAATCCATATTTCCAAGCTTCTCAGAAGCAGCTAAAAAACAAAAGGATGTGTATGGTATAAGGTTTGACACAAAGGACTTGGCAAAGAACTATATATCTGAGAAACATAATTATTTACATAATTGTTTTGGTTTATACATTACCCCTTCCCTTTTGTAGGTGATGCTCAAATTGTTTGATAGACAGTGGTAAGCAAAACTGTCTGATTTGAAATTCTTTACAAAGAGCCTTTGAGATAACAATCAGAGGCCAGGCGAGGTGGCTCACACCTGTAATCCCAGCACTTTGGGAGGCCGAGGCAGGCAGATCACAAGGTCAGGAGATCGAGACAATCCTGGCTAATGTGGTGAAACCCCATCTCTATTGAAATATAAAAAATTAGCCAGGCATGGTGGCATGTGCCTGTAGCCCCAGTTACTTGGGAGGCCAAGGCAGTAGAATCATTTGAACCCAGGAGGCGGAGGTTGCGGTGAGCCGAGATCATGCCACTGCACTCTAGCCTGGGCAGCAGAGCAAGACTCTGTCTCTAAATAAATAAATAAATAAATAAAAAGATAATAATCATGGTTCATTGAGATAGAAGTTTAAGCACAGGTTTTCCCAAAGAACAAAGATTTCCAACCCATGCAAGAAACAGAGATGTGTGAAAATGAAAACGGTCATAAAATGATTCCAGCCTCATGAAATGTATAATTTCTTGTGCATATGAGAAAAAGAAGAGATTAAATTTTCGAGCATCCCAAACCAGTTATCTGATCTTCTTAATACGAGATAATGGATTAGGGGATAGCTTGTGTCTTTGAGGGAGAGGGAAAAGTATTTTCTCTTTGCAAATTACCAGTCTACCCTCAGAATGGTTAGGAACATTGTTATAATCTGTTAGAGAAATCTCAGACTTACACAAAGGCTTTCTCACTGCAAAATGACTCTAACTGGATATGTCTCTTCTAGGCCTGAAAATATATATGATATGGAAAAGAAATACATATCATATATATTTGAAAGCAATGCTGAGAAAGATGATAAAGGGGCAACTTCCTTCACACATTTGGAAAAAAAATCTTAATTCTATAATTAATAAGCAGATGACATACTAAAGAAAGGGACAGACTGTTCATCAGTTGTGACACATTTAAACTCTAGTGGAAGGCATCAGAAACCAGAGTGGTTCAGTGGTTGAGTCTGCAGGATCGAATGAGATTTCTCTTCTTTGCAAGATTCTCTGATCTACCTCAATGCTCTGAGTGTGCTTTCTGAAACGTTCCTAGAGCTATTAAAAGAAAATTCCTCTCAAATATTTAAAAGTCACTTTTGAATAAAAGAAAAAGATGATTTCTTAACATTCCATTCCCTTGATGTTCTGCCTTAAAACCTTCAACTAGAAAGAGAAAGCATATCTGTGCATTAAAATTCCAGGAAGGCCATCGCTTTGTTTTCAAATGACATTCTGAGCACAAAGGTAAACCAGGCAGAGAGGCTGCCTTTGTGTTTTGATTTTCCACAGGGGAATTCTTTCAGTCACTTGAAGAGAGGCCGCACTGTACACACTAACACCTGATGTCGAGAAATCTTTGATACATCGTGAGCTGCTTTTATACAGGAAATGACTGGCTCAATTGTTTGCCACAGCTGTCATATTTAGACCCCGATTAGAAAAATGAAGTTTAAAATATGTATATTAAATGTTCACGTGTACTGCCACTTCAAAATTCAACCTCTTCCCATCTACGGTATCTCTCCCTTTCTTTTTTTAAAACATTCAAAGCAACTGAAGCATAAAATGACATATAAGCAAGATGAATTACATAAAAGAAGGAAACTCATTATTTAGAATATCTTAGGAATTGTCTTTTTAATTAAATTATTGTCTAACTTTCTTGGCTTTTCACTGATACAGTCACTCATAAATTTCTATAATTAAAGAAGCTGTTGTATTTGTCTCTTTCTAGACAGACCTTCCTCACGAATCTGGGTAGAGGCACTGTTGTCTCACTTGGCAGATGCAGGAGAATAAATACAATCACCCCTAAAATCATTATTTCCAGAAATATGCCACGTTGAATGGCAGAACTTGTGAATTTCCACTATAGTCACATGGGTTAATGTCAATCAGGTTTTATGCAAGATGAGGACAGTCTCTTTCTTTTCGGACAATAGTTATTTTGAAAGGATGAGAGAAGGAGTTTGTGAGCAATGATGGCTCTGTGTTACATCAAAAGGTATCAAGGATCATGTCGTATAGATCTGGAACTTCATAAACTAGAGGGCCACCTAAATTTCCTTCATTAGAGACACAGTCTCATTTGTAATGCAATCTTGAGGAGTACACTCAGCAATGTTGAAAGAATAGGCAACCTGTTATTACACTTAATAAGAGTTCATGAGAAATATGGGGATGGATATATCTACAAATCCCTAAATAACCACATTCCAGTGAAAATGTATAAGCATTCCATAGGAAACAGATGCCATCATAATTAACTTACAGACTCTGCATGTTCCATTACTGCTAACACAAAGAAGACATATTCTTGACCACTTTGGAGTTGCTTGTTTGTAAATCCACCATAATGCTTGTCATCCCCCAGGGTGAACTCAGTGGGAAGGACATCAAAGTGAGCGGCAATATATGGCTTTAATTCAACTTCTCTCCCATAACGGATGCTTCTGCGTTTCCTAGATATCTCCTTAAGCAGCTTAAGGAAAAAAGTGGGAAACAGAAAAAGACCTGTAAACAATAACCCAACTTACTGGTAATTTAATGAGGGAAATTAATTCAGAACTAGGACCAACCCAAATGCAGTGTGTTCACATTTCATATAGCACCTTGGCATCACTAAATCTCAGTTCTCTCAATATTTCAAACGCTTCTCTTCCTGTTAAGGTAAGATACTGGACTGTTATTACAAGGTCCAGGCTATAAACACAGGGCAATTAGATCCTTTACTGTAGCTCATTTCATTTCCTACACTAATGAAATTCTCTCAAAGAGCAATAGTACATCATAACTTGTCTAAGGAAAAAAGTCAGCTTGATTCATAAAAGCCTTGCCTTGCAGGAGATTTATTAAACAAGTAGTAACCTCAGACAAAGCCATCTAAATCTTTAAATCTGACCACATTTTAGAAGAGGTTACTAACATTTTAGACTGTTTTTAGTAATGAAATAATTCATATGATACAAATTCCCTCAAATCAGCAGAAGCAGAATCCAACAAATAATTTTTAATGTATACATAGTAAATAGACATTGTTACTCATTAACCAATTTCTGGCTTGACTGAGCTCCTTGTTTGGGCAATTGGGATGCACCTCCCTACACTTTATCATGGCGGCAACTTTTTCTAGAATCGACCTCTCTTGGGAGTATGTATATCTTGCTGGGTGATACAGGCAAGGTAGATGAACATTAATGTTAGTACTACCCTGAAGAAAACACACATGCATGTGTATATATGAATCCTTCATGTATTTCTAAAGAAAAGAGGTAGAATTTATTTTTGGATAATCTATTGTTTTTCATGGACTCCTTTATTATGGGAATATCATATTAACAGCAGTTATGAACATGGATCTCAAAGTTACCTTTGTCGTCTCCATTTAAAATTGTTATGTTACAGGGTTTAACAAGAAAAAGGTGTGTATTAGTCTGGGATGCCTGTTGATGTAAGCAGGAATTTTTTTTTGCCAGTTTCTTGGAAATAACTTTTATTTTATTTATTTTACTATCTGGGTATTAATAGAAAAGTCCGTGTATTTGAGGAGAAACTGCAAAAAGGAATGAACCTTGATAAACAAAATTAAGATACTTATGAAAACAGTGCAGCAAAACTATTTACTAGCCCTGTTTTCATAAATAGCAATGATCTAGTAAGGGCAGGCGTGGTGGCTCACGTCCGTAATTCCAGCACTTTGGGAGGCCAAGGCAGGCAGATCATGAGGTAAGGCAAGTGAGATCATCCTGGTTAACATGGTGAAACCTCGTCTCTACTAAAAATATATATATATATATAAAATTAGCCGGGGATGGTGACACACGCTTATAGTCCCAGCTACTCAGGAGGCTGAGGCAGGAGAATGCTTGAATGCGGGAGGCGAAGGTTGCAGTGAGCCGAGAGTGCGTCACTGCCTTCCATCCTGGGCTACAGAGCAAGACTCCGTCTCAAACACACATCAAAAAAAAAAAAAAAAAAAAAAAGAAAAAAAAAGATCTAATGAAAGCCAAACCAGTGATCTTTCCTTTGTAGAATGAGAGCCTGGCATCATCAAGGCTAGGTTTCTGTAATAAAATGATTTCGGACTGTATATATGACAAACACTGAATGAGTCTGTTAGGAATCTGATGATACCGTACAGTTCCTTCTGCACTGGGATTAGCAAATGTCTTCAGCTGGTTCAAAACTGTATCCCAAAAATGTAAAAAACCAGTCTTTCCGTTATAGGAAAATTTTGACCTACATTATTTTTCAATAATATTTAATTTAAAATGTGCCAAAATTTTCTGTGAATTTGAGTTTATTGATGCAATTAAAATGACAGGAAATGTAAGCTGTTTTAGGAAAAGCACAGTAGATTGGGCATTAGATGGCTGGCAAATTTGGATCATCTCATAATAAATTCAGTTATGCTGATCAACAATGCACCAAATGGCCAGTAAAAACACAAGGCCAGAAAGTTAGCACTATCTTTTAATCTTGTTGTCAAATTTAGCTTTATTTTTAATAATTATGGTAACTGTAACAATAATAGTTTTCATTTATTAAGCAATTACTAGGTGCCAGACACAGTTCTAGGGATTCTAAACATGCATTAGCTCCAATTTACCCCTTAGAACCCAATAAGGATGGTTAATATCCTCATTTTTTAAATGAGGAAACTAAGGTACAATAGAAAACCTTAATATATAATTAGACTCAATTAGTGAAATAAAACGAAATCCCATGTTAGAGATTTTTTCAACTATAATTTACTTAATGATTACACAATATCATAAGGAAATATAAACGTGATGTTTAAGCTCTGATACTCTAAATTGTTTTAACTCAGTGTGTATTTATACATAAAATATGTATCTGCTTATATCAAGACAGATGAATGTGTTATTTCCTTTTTCTTGATTCTTGTTATAAGCTAATTTTAAAAATTTGATGCCAAATATTTAATGCAATATAACTGAAGCCTCATTATACGGTTTATTGTTGATATGTAGTAAAGGATAGTAACCTATTACACCAAGAAGGAAAATGCACTGTGGATATGCTGAATAGCTTTTGAAGCTGGGTAATCAAAAACATTTATCATGAGTTGTTTACGTGACTGTGTCCCCTTTTCTACTTTACTGATCAAACCCTACCTTGATTTTATTCATAGTGCAGATGTAGTTAATAGTCATAATTCATCCATATCATTGTCATTCCCACAAGCACTTTCTGCTAGGGTTTCTTTAGAAGACTTATAGGAATTAATTCAGAATAAAATATTTGAGTTTTTGGATTCTTAGATCCAGTGCAGTCATTCATTAAAGTCAAACCTGTAACATCACTCTGCCCCTTTATATTGCTATAATCTCTGTAGGATGCTTCCTATGTTACATGTTAAATGGTTCAAATGAGCTCAGATGATACCAAAGTTAGCCAGCATGCTGCGGTTACAACCACAAATGACCACTTTATTTTACGGTAAGACTTTGAAGTACAATGCAATGAAAAGCTCATGATATATTACATGACCTGCTCTGAATTAAATATCACTAACATTTTGGGAGTCATTCTGCCCCAATTCATTTTGACTATCAATGTCTTCTCTGTCCAGTTTGACCTTGACAATAGGAGTTTCAGTTTATAAATTTATCATGTGGAGAGCATCTCCAGACAAAGGATAAATGAACTCAGAAGATAATTTCGAGAGTAATATTGTTTGGAAAGCTTCTTTCAATTTTTTATGGGCCTAGATATGAGGCATGCATGTGGAAATCCCCTTAGGCCACCATTCTATTCAATGATATGGTTCCAGCAATTTGAATTACAGGCCTTTGTGAAAAATTACCTGATCAAATACATTTAAGAGACGAACACTGCTTTGTCAAACCTGGCAGTACCAAGCTATACATAAAATTACTACAAAGCTTTTATTATCCATGGTAGGAAAAAAAAAATGTGTCTGTAGGGATCAGAAACTGGATGAGTAAGCATAAAGTGAGGGCATAGCCTACTTTCATTTGTTCCTTTCCACAATGGTTACAAGATGTATTGGAGGTAATTCCAGGAGATATATCAAGGGCTTAGTTCTTTATCAGAAATAATTTTCATTTTCCAGTCAATGCATATCTTATTTCTTCCACCATTAATTCTACAATGTGGTCTCAATTATATCAGGAAGAAAAGTGGGAAACAACCCATCCCGACGCAAAAATTCTGAATTAATAAAAAGTTCTTTATCAAACTATTATACAGATTAATGCACCACAACTTGGATGATTAAAATGACCCTTTGTTATGGGAATCAGCAGCAGAGACCCACAGAATTTAATTGCAAGAAAGTTCAAAGTCATATAGCCCTATAGTTTAATCCATTAGTGTTACTGTGCATTTTGGAGGTTAAAACCTGGCTATTAAAGAGAATCACTTTCTATTACTTACTATCAAATGGCTTCACTTATAAGGAAAGCTTATTATTTAAAAGTATTTGATGTCATTTTGGCTTGGCTCTCAATGCCTTAAAAACTTTTTTTTTAATAAGTAGAAGAATTCATAGATTCTACAAGTTGCCTTTGCATTTTAAGTCCCGTTCCAACTTAAATGGCATGATGACAGTTCTGTAATTCAGCTGAGAACCAATGAAAATAGTACAGACTATACCAAGATTAACTGATTAGTTGCAAGTAAAATCATGTTTTGCTTCAAAGCCAGCTGATCATTCTGTATTTTCAGTTAAAGGATTACTATTGTTTCAATGTCACAGAATAATGAGTTTGTTCCTTTACCGTCAATACAAAACAATTAAAATAATAACATATCTAAATTACTTGATGACACTATTGAAATAATGTCTCATTTTACACAGCTTCAATGATCATCTAATCACTAGTGACACAAAAGCATACACCTAACCTTGAACTCACCTCCTCTTCTGAATTTGATCAAATTTAATTCAGATAAATGAAGCCAGTGATCATAAATCCCACTTTTAGAGATGACATATGTCTGCCAAAGAAAGCTAACAATCTTTTTGGTCAGATCACAGCCTCCTTTGTGTCTCCTGTGTGCAGACATAGGTATGAAATAAACATAACCTCTCTGTAATGTAGGTAGGGAATTTATTCTTTTCCTTGCTCAATTGTTTGTAACAATTTGAGGTAGAAGAAATATGCAGAAATAAAAGGTCATACTATGAGATGTGGCCTATGTTGTAAATAAACCCAATAAATTAAAATATCATGTTTTCCAAATGGGGTCTTATGGTTATTTGCCTTATAAAGTGATTGAAAACAGCATCATGTTAAAATAACAAGGGATCTTCCGTATTTTAAAATGCAAATTCTACTCATTAACTTGCTATGGTCCTCTGGGGATCTAGCTCAACACTTCTGGATCATATTTTCTTATCTAAATAGAAGTATGTGATAATTATGTATTTTTCTTCATGTTATGCATTACCTTTCAAAAATGTCCTTATACAAGAAGGGTACCAATTATAATGCACCTGCTGTTGTAAGATTTTAGAAATCCACATTATATATTTAGCATTTGTTGTTTTTTGTTCTATATATTTTGCTTTGCTCACAGTTTTTTTAGTTGTATTACTTTCTCAATAGTGAAATGCATTTTTGACTCTGAAAACCTACAGAATAGAGAATAAGGCAAACATTTTCTAATCAACAGAATTCTGTGAGAAACTGCACAAGAACACATAGTAGGTCAAATGAACTCTGCTACAAATTGTAATTTGGTGTTTTTATCAGCCTCAGCAACTGTTGCACTAATGAAGGGGACCTTGGGGTTTCTATCAATGGTGATTAAGTCTTTGCTGACAATTCACTTCACCTTCCACACCTCTGCATCAGGTTTTACAAGGGGCAAGGGGCAAAATATTAATGCTGACAAAGATTAGACAGGTTGTAAGCTTTATTGCAGCTTAACATTTTTTAATTAAAGCAAAAGGATCTTTGTTGGGATCACCAGGGGTTAGCATAGCAACAGCACTGAACCATCCAACCAGCTAGGTATGGAGAAGCCAATACCCAGATTCGATCCTAAAATGCCTCCATAGGGAGGAGGCAGATACGTAGCAAATTAAATAACTAATGAAAGACACAGCCAACAATGACATAGTTACCTCATCTAATTCCATTTCATCTGGACTCTCCCATGGCTTGATAAATTTCCCACGAGATTTCTTCAAAGGCACAATTATTATGTAGTAACCTCTGCACAAGAATGAATAGACAAAAGTAAGGTTAATTCAAAGGAGAAAAAAGTGGATATACCCTTAAATCTTCCACAGGCCAGTGAGGCTGAAGGTAAATTATAGATATGGAGTGACTTGTCCATTTCTTATATCAATGACAAATAACCACCTGTTTGTTCAATTTTGAAAACAACATGGGAAGACATTTATGTGTGACTGCAATGATCTTGTATGGTAATATCATCATGGTTGACTGCTCTTTATTAGGTATCATAAACAGAGCAGGCCTAGTTTGTTAGGGCCCTGGTGCTGGACATGTGCAAGGCTGGAATACTGCAATCTACTGCCATAAGCTGCTGAACCAAATATTTTCTATGACGTTAATTTATAAGAAGATGTTTTGAAAAGGGGTTGTATAAGAAAAATTTTAGTCTTAGCTCACATAAATACCTATTATTACTATGTTGTTTATACAAACCTAAAATACTTCTTTATTTGAATTTGAAAAATATAAGTGATAAAAATTAGGTATAATTGCATAGAGTGAAACATTAACAATGCTCTTCTATTATACCCATCAAATTGCAAACCTCAAGGTAAGTACTGCAGAAATTTGGAGAAAATCACAACCTAAGGGCTTTCAACATAGCTATCAATACAAGGATATCTATACAAAGAGACAAAAGTAACTGAATCCTTACACTGAGAACGGTCAATTAAAATGTAAGTAATGTATAAAGGTACCAGACCACCAATAGGTATGCGTTATTTGCAAAGCTGTTTTGTCCCTCCAGTATAGTATACACCCTGCTTTCATGCTCCTGTTTAGGGACTCTGCTCATATGATCCTTGGTAGTAACTATACAAGGACTTTGAACATACTGTATAATAACAACATATTAATCACTTCCTACTTCTCAGGTATTATGTACAATGCATAATCTGGCTTTGTTCTCCTACAGAGAAATCTGAATAAAGCCTAGGTATAGCGTCTAAGGCTACAAGGATAGGTCACAGGCAAAAAGACCGATCTGTAAAGATTAAATAATTGCCAAATAAAAACAGACAGTAAGTGGATACAAACCTACATTTATCTTAACGGTAGCCATGGTCCTTAGAAAAGTATTTCCATATACTTTGTGGAGATTTACTGTGAAAATGAAAATGCACACACACGAACCCAAACATACCCACATACCTTTAAAAGAGGAGGTCACCACACAAGACAAAGAAAGAAGAAGGACACTTCCAACCCTGTGCCACACTGAATCACAGAGACCAATCACAGAGACCATAGAGGTCAGGAAGGCCTCCTTCTACTCACCTCAAAGCAAAACCTATAATAAACTCAGTGACTAAGAACTCTGTTTCCTCTAAGAGTCTAGACCAGAGCTGCCCAGTACTAGTCCCTGGGGAGCACTGCAGATGTTACAGCCCACACTAAAATGCACTGTAAATATAAAAGACACACTGGGTTTCAAACATAGCATTCAACAGAGTGTGAAATATCTCAGTAATAATTTAAAAAATAATGATTACATGATGAAATAATAATCTGGATATATTAGGTTAAATAAAATTATTAAAATTAATTTCATCTGCTTTTAATTTTTTTCACTGTTGCTACTACAAAACTTAAAATTTCACATGTGGTTCTCATTACATTTCTTAGATGGTACTGCTCTAGAGCGTTCTGGTGAAGAATACAGTACTTGGAGATATGTCTTGCCCAGAGTTTGGGCTGATCTTGGGCTTAAACTCCAGAACCTCAGTTTTATGTTTTGTAATATGTGAGTAAAAAATACCAGGCTGTGATATGTGGGGAAATAAACGAACTCAGGATGCTCAGCACAGTATGTGTGGCATGTAGCACTAAACAGATGCCTGCTGCTGCTGGCTAGTATGAACACCACAGTTGGAGCAATGTATCTGAACTGTCTCATTCAGTGAGACTCCATGAAGTTCCATGAGCTGCAGGTTAAAGAATCTGTCCAACTTCTTTTCCCCCAATCAAGAATTCAAGTCAAACCAGACAATTATACCACAGTCCTTTCTCCATGGTGCTGTGAGCAACTAATCAACAGATACACAGGATTACACCAGCTAGCCATTCATTTTCTTTACTACAAATAATCGTAATGATCAAGGAGGATGAGGAGAAGGCAGAGTTGGTGTGACAGAGACCAATATCTTTTATTTTATGATCCAGAGTAAGCTTCCCCCTCTTCCTGTCCTCCCACCACCTGAAGGATTTGCCAAACAAGTCCATCATGTTAAATGAGCATGGAGGAGAATGACGGAGGCTGCAACTGAGCATACAAAATCACACTGCAATGTACTTGATAAACACACTTGTCAAGGAACCTCTTGCTTTCACTACCAACTGCACTAAGTCAGAAGAGCTCTACACATAAAGCAATGATATTGCATATTATCAGAGAGCTACCACCGTCCTCCTTCAGAATCTTGTAAATCAAGGTGAAGCTGATGAGTTTCATTAATTTTTTCTTCTGATTTCATACTCTGGGTTGCCATTCTTGTACATGAAAAAAAAAAAAAACAAAAAACAACTAATTCTTCGGCAGCACACCCCAACTATTCATTTTACTTGTGGCTGGGATAAGAATTGAACAGCCTCCCCCACAGCAATTAATTAGCAGTGCGGCCAGATATCCATAACCCTTTTTCTCTGCTGATCTCTGAAGCATTCATCTAGGGCAGTCAAAGTGAAGCTTGCTTCAAAGCAGCTTTTGCACACTGAAAGAAATAGGGCAGTGGCAATTTGAAATTCTGTATTATACAAAGCCTCGCCTCGGTCTAAATCCACACTTTGCAACTGTGCTCTCTGCAACCACAGCTTCGTAAACGTCAACATCCTTGCCTTACTTGCAACCTGGCTCTTCCCTGAGGGTGCTGCTTTCTTTGCAGTCTTCTCATATGGCAGCTGTGGATTTATCCCTCCTCACCTGCCTGTGAAATTCAGAGTCAGGCTTTGGAGTTTCTTTCCTGACTTCCCGTTGCTTATTTTTCTTCCACCCGCTAGATTTTTTATTAACAAACCCTCTCTTTTTTGAAGCTCATGCAATCCAGCTATATTATGCTCTTCTCTGGCTGATTTTTGCTGTCTAGAACTTCTCCACACATCTCCTTTTCTAAGGGAAGATTCTTTTGTGGGGTTCATGGCCTTTTTTTTTCCCTCCACACTCTGCCATCAACCTGCATGATTTCAACCTTCATAGGTCTGGCCAATGTACCGCTGAAGCTCTTAGATTCTTCAATTCTCCCTTTCCAAAGCCCACCTCCTCCACTCTACATTAGCTGAAATCTATGCCTGCCATTTTCTGTGCCAGAATCCAGGGAGCTGAAGACAGCTCAAGAAATAAAGCACAGGGCAGAATAATCCCATAAATTCAGAATCAGCAAACCCAACAGTTAGGCCCACAACACGGCCTGGCAATCTTACCACTACCTAGTTACCTAATAACTTCTCCAGTTGCCTAGTCCATCCATTTTCCACAGTAACGTTTTCCCTATCTCCTCCAGCTTGAAACCACGGACGTTCAAACCTCCCCAGTAGAAGATGGCCTTATCTGTTAAATACAAAGAAAAGGCAAAGATTCCGACAAGAATTCCCTCATCATCTGTCTACCAAACTACAAGCCTATCTAAATCTGTACACAAACCATAAACTTTTCTTTCGTTAAAGTAGAAGGGCTGGCCCTACTTTTGAAGACCATTAACTATTTCTTGAATTGTTCCCCATCTTCTTGCTTTCTTAGGAAGGTCCATACATTATACCCCTCCTCTCCTATATCTCAACTTCTCCTTCCGCATTCAATCCCATCCATTAGCTTTCAACCACGTATAAACATGTGCCATGTAAAGAACAAAACCAACCACACCCCACTCCAGTCACCTCTCTCTCCCACCCTGACTGCCAAAATTCTGCAAATAGCTGTGTGTTCCTCCCTCTGCCTCCCTTTCCCCTCGCTTCCTGGCCAGCCAGGCTTTGGTGCCTGCCTCCTCAGTCCACCTCAATACCACTGCCAGGGTGCTCAGTGATCTCCATGGTGTTACATCAGAAGGGGAGTTTCCGATACTCTTCCTTCTTGACCTTTCAGCAAACCTTTTAAGATGTTAACACTCTTCATGAACATTCTGAGCCCTTTCTCTGTGATATTCTTCTGATATTTCTATGTGTATCTCTTTTCACACTAACCTTATTTCCTTGGCAGAATTTATCATCTGCTGCCCAGCGACAATGGTGACATTCCTCAAGGCTCTGGCTAAGAACTTCCATCCAGACCCTATTTTCATCCTAGATCTCATTCCAGCTCAGGGCATCAGTTATTAGCTATAGGTAAATGATTTCCAGATTCATATCTTTAGCCGAGAATGTTCTTCCGAATTCCTCTGGTTGATCCGACTTTAACTTAATGTCTCCATTTGGGTTACAAAAGTATCCCAAATTTACTGAGGTTAAAATAAAACAAACAATATGCCTTTCAAAATAAATCCTCCCTAATATTGCACTATAATCCATTTCAGTGCACAAGCCGGACACCTAAGTGTTATCATTGACAACCTGCTCTATTCTCTCCCTCTGTCACACTCAATCTATTGCCAAGGGCGACTTCTTCCAAACCCGATCTCCAGTGCACGTGTTTCTCTCCGTCTCCACCACCACTATGCTGGCCTCATTCCATGTCTCATGCCCAGACTGTGACCTGACTCTCCTAACTCTCTCTGTTGACTTTATCCCCGTCTAGTGTAGTCTCTGAAATTTTCAATTCACAACACAAAATGTGTTGTGCCATTTCCACTTTTTAAAACATTTCAATGGATCCTCATTTCTCTTAGGATAAAAACTGAAAGTTATCAGAAGGCCCAGTAGGATCTTGGCTGAATTCCCTCTGACTGTGCCCTCTCAGCTACAGCTCCATAGGCTTTCAATGTCTTGCCTCTACCTTAGACCAGTGGTTCCCAGCCTTTTTGGCACCAAGGACTGGTTTTATGGAA